CCCCGGCAGAGCCCCGGAGGGCCCATGGCAGCCGGGAGCATCACCACGCTGCCCTCCCTGCCCGAGGACGGCGGCAGCGACGCCTTTCCGCCCGGCCACTTCAAGGACCCCAAGCGACTGTACTGCAAAAACGGGGGCTTCTTCCTGCGCATCCACCCCGACGGCCGAGTGGACGGGGTCCGGGAGAAGAGCGACCCTTACAGTGAGTGCCGCCCGCCCTTCCAGCCCCTCGCCCCCTCTCCGCTCCCCTGGTGGTGCGTGTGGTTTCTTTCCACGCGGCCCTCGGCGGCTTCAGGTTCACCGCACGCCCCGCCTTTCCCGAGCTGCGGTGTCGGGCTGGCTAGACGCGCCCCCGGGTGTGGGCAGTGTCGTTTCCCCCTGGGAAGCCAGTCCGCTGGGCCGGGGCCGCCTTCCCGCAGACAACCTGTCGCGGTCCGGGATGCCGGCGGCGGGGAACCGAGCGCCGCTCTCGCTCTCGCAGAAGCCGCCGGGTCCCCAGTGCAACCGCGGCTGTCCCGTGCGTGCTGTCCCGGACCGCAGCACAATGAAACGCTCTTTGTTGGAAAAATACCTTGCCAGACCCCTGCCCTTAAATTCCGACTCTGTAGGACCCGAGGCGTGGGGCACACGGCTCTCCCCCACGCAACAGTACAGAAAAAATTGTTTTTTCCTGAATTGAGTAAAGTTGAAAGAGCAACAAACAGAAACAAAAAAGCCCAGATTTTGTTAATAAAGACTGACAGGCTTTTGTATCATACTAAAAAGAAGTGCAAAAGCCTGTGTCTTCCACCTGCAGTTATTACGTTTGGGACCGTGAGCGAAGCTTAACCCCAGGGTATGTTTCCTCATTCTTAAAGTGGAAATAATATGTACCTTGCATCCAGTTTGAGGATGAAATGAGAATTACATTTTGTTTTCTGTAAAAAACCAAATGTTTGTGGTTCTGGAAATAACATTGGCCTAAATCAGTGGTTCTCAAAGTATAGAGGTGTATCTAGAATCACTTGGAAGTTGTGTTCTAACACAGGTGGCAGGACTTTGTCCCCCGGCGTTTATGGTTCTCTAAGTCTGGAGTGCTGAAAATTTTTATTTTCTAGAAAGTGGCCAAGTGATGCTGATCTGGGGACCACACTTTGAGAGCTACCGGTCTAGATAAAAGAGGTCAGAAAAGGGCATAAGAACGGGCTGATTTACTACGCTGATGGAATTTGAAGTGAGTGAGACAGGACCAGAATCATTTTAAGCTTTTCCCCTATAGGTAAACATATGTTTTAAAAGCGGTGTGTTCTGGCATTCCTTACTTTATGGATTCTAGGTGGAAAGTCTGAGAAAAGACCTGCAAGGTTCCAGAGCTCCACTTCCCAGTACTTTTGTCTTAAGATGCTATGGCATGTCATTCATTCTGGGGGAAAACTGGAAGGAAGAGGAGAAAGCTGTACAACCCAGCATACCTAGACAAAGGAAAGGGAAATGCACTTTTATATTATCTGGGTCTTTTTAAAAAACGTATCAATCATTTTATCCAGTAAAACTGAAAAGATTTTTGTAACCAATATTACATGTGTTAGTGCTGGTTCTCTATTCTGGTAACAGGAGTAGATTTAACAAAATTATCTTTGTGATTGATTTATCTTTGTTCTGCAGTTGTCCACTAGAGTAGCTCAGCCGATTAAGACAAGGTACATAAATGTCCCAATTAGTTTTGTTATTTTTTAGTATCAAAAACTGTTAATAAAAAAACATGTTTTATGACCAGATAACAGAAGAAATCTCTTTCAGATTGGTATTTCCCTTCATACTCTTTTACAGACTTTGTAAGTTGCTGAATTTTTTTTTTAAGAGATGGAGTCTGTCTTGGGCGCCTTAGATAGAGAGCTGTGGTGTCACAGCTCACAGCAACCTCCAGCTCTTGGTCTTAGGTGATTCTCAGGTGCCCGCCACAAGGCCCAGCTATTTTTTTTTTTTTTTGAGACAGAGCCTCAAGCTGTCCCCCTGGGTAGAGTGCTATGGCATCACAGCTCACACAAACCTCCAACTCCTGGGCTCAAGCGAGTCTCCTGCCTCAGCCTCCCAAGTAGCTGGGACCACAGGCACTCGCCCCAACGCCCAGCTATTTTTTGGTTGCAGCCATTATTGTTGTTTGGCGGGCTGGGCTGGATTCGAACCCGCCACCTTGGGTGTATGTGGCTGGCACCTTAGCCACTTGAACCACAGGAACCGAGCCGGCCCAGCTATCCAGCTATTTTTTGTTGCAGTTTGGCTGGGGCGGGGTTTGAACCTGCCACCCACAGGCACTGCCCTGTTTTTTTTTTTTGTTTTTTCTTTTTTTTTGAGACCAGAGTCCCACTATGTTACCTTTGGTAGAGTGCCCTGGGGTCACAGCTCATAGCAACCTCAACTCTTGGGCTGAAGCGATTCTGTTGCCTCAGCCTCCCTCAGCCTCCCAAGTGGCTGGGAGTACAGGTGCCTGCCACAAAGCCCCACTATTTTTTTGTTGTTGTTGCCATTGTTGTTCAGCTGGCTGGGGCTGGATTCTAAAGCACCAGCCTTGGTGTATGTGGCTGGCGCTGTAACCATTGTGCTGTAGGTGCCAGGCCTGAATCATTGCTTCTTTGAAGCTTTTGATACTTTCTTTGCCTGAGAATAACATACTATATAGAAACTAGCCAGTGAGAATAATTAGGAATTGTATCACATTACCACCCTCCTAAAAAGAGCTGTTAATTTTTTCCATCCCACTGTATATTGTATTTTTATTTTTGTAATCTTACTTTAACTCAGTGGCTCACAAGTGGGGAGGATTATGCTCCCTAGAAGACAATGCCTGGAGACATGTTCTGTTATCATACCTGGAAGGATGCTATTGGCATCTAATAGGTAGAGTTCTGCTGCTAGACGTCCTGCAGTACATAGGCTAGTACCCTAAACAACACATTTTTTGACCCCAAGTGTCATTAGTGCTAAGGCTCACATTGCCAACTTTATAACTAGCTAAAGACAAGCTGTTAGAAGTGAAAAGTAAAAGTAGGGCACATGGTAGTCTCAGGTTAAGGGAGAAGGAGTTCTTGAACCTAGAACTTTTTTTTTTTTTTTTTTTTTTTTT